TTTTGCAGTAACTTGGACTTTTTCTTAATAAAAAGTCATTATTTATTCGAAAGCAAAAACTAGAAGTAAGATTCGTAAGACAATATTTTTTTACGTTCTTTATCTTTGGTGTGCCTGAGAGGCACACTTCGAGTATGTCAAACATTGTCTGTGCCTAAGGAAGTACTTCGAGTGCAACGGGTTAATATCGTACAGTTTAAATGGAAGATCAAAGAAGAAATTTTAAACACCAATTCACAAATAATGGACAGCCCTAGGTTAGGCTAAATCAATCGCTGATTAACTCTTTGCGGTCGTATTTTCCGTAGGCATGGTAGCCGTATTGGTCGGAAAAAATGTATAAATTTTATTCAAACGAGTTTGTATAAGCCGTGTGCATATTTTGGTTTTTCTCCCCCCATTTCTGCAGGCAAAGGATTCACAGAGCGTTTAGAAGGTAAAACCGCCTTGCCGGGAATATCCTAGAGTTCGACCGCAAAGAGTCGATCAACTATACTTGCGTACATACTTATTGCTGAAAACACGATCTTTTCTATGCACGCTAACTCCAAGCAAAACTTCGTCGTCCTTGAACCCTTCCCACCTACCGACCTTACTTTTAGATTCTCACCCTCTGAAAAAGATCACTCTCCGTGCGACAAAGCATCGAGTTACTCTCCCTGTTTCACCACAGTGGAAGCGGAGGGACACAGCTATGGCTTTTCGTCGACTTTCGCCTGTACCATGGCCTTCGCGTTTTATATAGGGAGAGACTGGAAAGGAAACTTTTCCTTTCCCTTCGCCAAAGAAACTGTTCCACTGGGCGAGCGCGTTAGGCAGCCGGTGGTTTTCGTGAAATCAGGACACGCGCGTGGAGGTTCGAGAGAAAGCGTTAGAAAAGAAGGCGGTTCGTGGTCGGAAAGAAGAAAGAGAGAGAGAGAGAGGCGTGTTTGGGGGACACTCGTTGCACGCGCCAACACAAAATTCATATCGCGTCGCGTAGAAACGTAAAGAGTATCGTTTCGGAAGTGTCCTCTCCTCCGGGGGCAAGTGAGGGTTATCGCGAATCGCGTGGTGGACTTTAGCTGTCCACCGAAAACGCGAGACGATCGTTGATAGACAGTTGCATGCGAAGAATATCTCGAACAAGTGGGAAAAAAAGGTTCTTGTATGAAGAAGCATTCATCGATGACGATTTAGGATAACGAAAATTTTCTATGTAAAGGAAAGAACACAACCCTTCATAGGCAAACCGGGTCGCTTATGTTCAAGTCTAATTTTTTCACTATTCTAGGCTTTCGAAAAATCAAGGTCTCTACTACATTATAAAATTGTTTCAAATATCTTTGAATAAAAATAAAAATTCATTTGGAATAAATACAAGGGTGAAATTGCACTTGGGTCAATAATGACCCAGACTACCTACGGAAAATTATTTTTCTATAAAATAGTGGATAGTACAAAATATTACAGATTAATGACAAATTAAAGTCATTTAAGAGTTGCAAATTATGTCACACCTATCCCTAGTTATCCGACTCTTTCTCGAGTCCTTAAAGATCCTCACTTTTGTATATTTTTCGAACGCGATAAACATGAGGACCGAGCCAAACTCACCTCCACTTTCGAGTATATATACACACCTTCTCCCTTCATTCAGTGAACTGTGAAGAAGCAACAAATCAAACCTGTCCATAACATTCTTAACACTAAAACATATTAATTTCTCATACTCTTCCTCGAAGAGTCTGCTCGAAACTCTATCTCCAAAACGAGCACCACAGAAATGACAACAAATGGTCCCTTATCGATATACGTTCATCTTATAACAGTCGATCGGTTATGTTACCAGTTCGAAACGAAATAATAACCGAACCAAGTGGGGCTAGCCTCTCTATTCGATCGATCCACATATCTTTGTGCGACCGTTACGGTGAAAAAAACAACAACTCGACGGCACGTGGTGGGCCAACTAACCAATTAAGCGGGCGGCTCGACGTTCTTCGCGAGCGATAGTGATTAATCGTTTTGGTCTGCTCGCTCGCTTACAACTTTCTCTACGTGCTGCACTTAACGGAACGCCGTTAACCGTGTCTGACACCAATATCCACGCACTCGTATATATACTTTCAGATTGGATAATAGGATTCATAACGGTACTGCAGCCGTCGATGCAGGCATTCGATGTGTCAGCCAGACGAAAAATCTTACCAGACAACGATCTACAGAGATCTCGTGGATCTAGGTTAACCATCGATCGATCACCTTCCGACGAAAAGAGAGAAAGGTTGCTGATGGTGATCGGTGGTAGACCTCGAAAGTTGCACATTCTTGTTTATTCAACGTGGCTGATAAAGCAACAAATATCTATAGCCCCGCATGTTGGCGTGTAGTACCGTTATCAGCGTAGCTGATAAATCATACCGAGTTTTATTGACGCCGCGATCATGGGGACACTCGGTGGCAACCTTCGCTCGTCGTATGACTCGCTGCACACAATGAGTGAATTTTTGCCAATGTAAATATGAACGAGGTCGAATAATAAAAAAAACATACTTTCACGAATCTTTTTATTTTCTTCGAGAATGTGAAACTACGAAGAAATTAGCGATTGTAATTATTTACGATCTAGGTGTAGATGTATATACTATTGAGAAATTTTTTACGAGTTGCTAATTGAGAAAATAAGGATTGAAGTAAAAGTAAGACTGATGTAAAATTGAAACGTAATATGTGACATGCGTGAAGGAAATCGCGACAATTAACACGAAACGATCATCATAAATGATTCACGCCAAAGTCAGCCTGAAATATTTCTCGATACACGCTTCTTTTTTTTTACGACTGGAAATATATCGATACCAAAGCAAACATACCGTGAATGCATAATCAGTCGACTTAACACACTGCCTGAACAATCCCGTCCAACCTTATTACCGCTCCTGTCGATTGTTCGTGGTTCAATGCCACGAACTCTACGCATTATTTAACACACCACTGAAACCGAGATCTTCTCCGTGCATTATCGACGAACACTCCTTTCCTTTAAACGACCGTCTGTACTACGCAAACTCGTATCACTTCTTTTCCAAGCAAAATCGAAATGCAATGGAAAACAAAAGAAAAACACGCGTTAGGCAACAATAAACGTATTCTTTGCACCGATTCACGCTCGATACCTTATGAATGAAGATGCACATCGGTGAGTTATTTTCAGACCGGAAGCGCTGCGGTTACGGGCTGCATAGACGTCCCCAGAGCACCGCGATAAATAGCTGACTCGATCGCCACACTTTTATCTCGCAGACCACGATAAAGACACCTCTTTCGTTGCAAATCGAGCAAATTACACAAATTACACAGAGCTGCAAGTGTGTCACGAAATATTTCAACAATCCACGATGATTTTCTAACGATATCGTTCCACGATCGATGCACAATCGAGAAGAAAAAAAAAACGACTATTTCAAGCATAAGCACAGACGGAAGGTCGACGACGATGCAAGCGCGAGCGCGTTGCACCGCGGCTCGCGGCGAACTGCGGTTTCGCGCGACGAATCCGCAAGAATGTTGCATTCGTTGCGGGGGAAATCGCGCGCACCAGTCGCACGCTGCTGTTGCACGCGTTTGTATTCGCGTGTACACGTACGGCGTGTATAGAGGCGAGGAGAGCGATGTGCAAACCGACGAGATTCGCATGCACGCCGACTGACTCTGCGCGAGTGGTGGACTAGCCCCGCGTGATTGGGTGAAACGGGGGTAGGGGGCGGGCCAATCCACCGCCGCTGCACTTCGACGCTGCACTCGCGCACACGTGCAACGTTTGCAAAGCGTGCAACCAGTGCATACGGAGGAGAGAAGGTCGCTCAGGTGAGAGAGCGCGTGTTCGCGCGTCAGGAGTGATGGCGTTGCTTTGGTCAGACATGAATACGCCGCGGTCGGCCAGCTGGCTTCCGGCTCGCACGCGAACCCACGTCGTTCAGCGCGTGGCGATTTTTTTCATTTCGATAATGGAAATTCGGGTATTTCATTATTGACTGATAAGAGCGAGGAAACGCGCGTGCAATGTTGCCGTTCGAAATACCGCTGGTCGGCGTCGTCTCTGCAATGAATTCGAGTTGGCTGCCTCGTATATATACGTTAAACGGCTCGAGTGTGCAGTGAGAATTTTTTTGCCGCGGGAAAATTGCGTCGACAGTTGTTGAATTGGTTGATTAATACGGTAATGCAGTGCAACGCGGATGGTAATGCAGGTTTTTAGACACGTGCAGTGGTCATTCGAATCGGAATGAAATTGTGTCGACAGATGTTGAATAGGTTAAGTACTATTTATGACGTTATTATATGGATAGAGTAGAACGTGGAGGGAAATGTAGGTTTTTAGACACGTGCAGTGGTAATTTGAATTGGATGAAAATCGTGTCGATGTTTGTTGAACAGGTTGACTACTTGTTTTAGAACATTTTCAAGCTTTTACAGGTTATTCGCGATATTTATAGTAATCTAATACAACGCGGATGAAAATATAGGTTTTCAGGCACGTGCAGTGGTCAGTTGAAACGCGATGAAATTGTGTCGACAGTTGTTGAATAGATTAAGTACTATTCGCGACGTATTATAGTAGTCTACTAGAACGTGGATGAAAATATAGGTTTTCAGGCACGTGCAGTGGCAATTTTGATTAGGAAAAAGTTGCATCGATACTTGTGTAGGTTGACTACTTGTTTCAGAATATTCTCAATCTTTTGCAGATTTATTTACGAGACATCGTATTAATCCAGTACAACGTGGATGAAGATAGGAAATTTTTAGGCACGTGCAGTGGGTGCACAAAGTGTTTCCATATACCCAATGTCTTGGAGTAAGACGTTGTAATTGCATAAAACTTTCATAGGCAGTGTGTATAAGTTAAAATGCTTGTGCCGAAATAAGTACAGCGGTGTGCAAATGCTTTTTGTACTCACTGTATCTTCTGATAGGTCTAGCGATATTCGTTTCGAACGTAATAAGTAAGAACTTACCCTCGCAGAATAGGGTGACATCGGTGAGACTCTCGCTTTTGAACAAATTCGAGAACGCAGTCGCTAAGTTGCTACCGAAACTATTCCACTTGAGACAGAACTGGTGCTGATGAGAGTCCATGATGCCACCCCTAGGCCCGACCCCGTGACCTTCTCCACCCCTGTCTCTGCCACCTTCAAGTAGGTATTTTCCTTCTTGATCGCGCTCGTGCCCAACAGTTCGTCCAGCTGTACAGAAAAACAACCTCCCGTTATCATCCCATTTCCCAAATCGACCGTAGAAACATGAAAAATACAAAATTTATGCAACGACTATCGCCGCATCGTTGATTAATTCGTCAAAATATTTGCAACGGAACTTAGCACATCTGTGCCAATATTGGCTACCACCAGATGTATCTACATACAGTGTTTTAAGGGATGAAAGTTTCTCTCAGATACAGTAGAAAAAATGTCGATTGCGAAAATTGCATGAAAATCGAAAATTGTCATTTGCCGGATACCACTCGTTAACGCAATTGTCACCAAAGATCGTCACTCATTCTCGACACTTCATCATAACCAATCGCCTTCCTTCACGCAACATCGATCTTCGAAACACACATAAGATCCATCAAAAAGCAATCGCGCCGTCACAAGACATTACGATCCATAGAGAAGAGCACCGTCTCCGAACGATGATCGCCAAGGCGACCGAGAGATCGATTCAACCGTAGCGCGCGCGCAAATCACCGATGACCGTATCGTTCGGCTAACCGCGTGCATACCATGGAAACTTTTGCCGGATTTCCGTGGTAAGAGCGATAAAAGAAGTGTCGAGCGAAACCTACCGATGCTGAGGACTGTATTATCGTCCGGCTCGAAGCAGTCTCAAGGAAGAAGACACCGGTACATCGTCCGAGTGATACACGTTCGATTCGCACCCACTGTTGTATCGGGACCACACGATGCACGCTCTTTTTTTTTCTTCAATCAAACGTAACCACTTTTCAGCGAATGACTTGCTACGAATCTCGTTCTCCGGTTTAAATACACTGAACAGACCCAGCGGCGGAAATCAGCAACAGCAGCAACAGTACTCTCGACACCGGTCTCGCGTACACGTGTCCACGCAACACATGATCGTTAAATCGACAATGTCCCGGAGCCAGCCACTCCAAATCTCTCTCTCTCTCTCTCTATATATATATATATACGTTAATACGGATAACGTTAGAAACGTAAGTGAGAAGAACGGAGCAACTCGAGCGAGGGTACAAGAAGAAAAAAGAAGGAAAAGAAAAGAAAAGAAAGGAACGTTCGAACCGCGCGTAGAGAGTACTATCGTAGTGTATCCTCACACTGGTCGCGTACACACTGATGGGTCGAGTCTACGTTTCACCCGGCCGAAATCGAGTTACCGACTTGCATCGCGCATCGCCGCGACGAGGAACGAATCACGCGTAACTGTCCGCCGTCAACTGTCTCTCTCTCTCTCTCGCTCTACCACCGTAGTCGCGCGGGCGCGCGCGAGCTCTCTCCCTCTTTCTCCCTCGTTCTTGCACGCGTGCTCTCGCTCTGTCCCTCTCTCACCCGCGGCAGAGAAACGGTGAAGGAAGAAACAGATAGGGACCGCGGCTGTGACGGCGGACTGACTGCTTTGCTCGCCGAACGGAGAAACGGCGACGCGGCGAGTGTATTCGGTAGTGTGTGCCTCGCGCGACGGGAGAAGGATCTCGCGCGGCGTTTCGGACCCCGACGATGGTGTTTGTTGCACACGAGAGGAGAGGAAAATATTCTCAATGGCAAGAGAGGCGAGAAAGAGGGAACGAAGAAGACCGTCCGTCGCGCGGTGATGTAGCGTGTCGCGGAGGAAAGAACGTGAATATAGGTCATCGGTGCCGATGCAAATGCGGTTAGACGAAATAGTGTGAGTTCGGTGTGCTTTCCGTGGAGAAGGAGGGGTAGCAGCACGGTGGAGGAAGAGGGAAG